ATTGGTCATTACAGTTAACAATTTGACTTGGGTAAACATTTTAACATTTACGTTTGCTTTCCACCTGCATGTTGGCAGCTTGCGTTACCACGGTGCGGGCAAACTTCAAAGTATTGTAGCCGCTGCCTGGGATGGAGGTGTAGTTGGTTAATAGTTTGGATAGTTTGCTCCCAGATTGAGTGTGTGTGTGTGTGTTAAAAGAAATGTGAAATAAAAATTATTGTTAAATACTACACTCACAATAAATGCGATTTTTAAATTCTAGCATTTGTTTCTCTCTAAAATATTTCATTAGTAACTATATTATGTATTACAAAAAGAATAATGATAAAACAATCTTGGATTAAGTTCAATAAACATAATCATATTTCTTATACGTTTTCAAAGTGTTTACAAATTTAGAATATGTAATTTTGTGATTTTTTCTTTCTCCGAATGCAAAATAATAAAACCCAGTCAATTTGCTTTAGTTTTGATTGATGTAGAATGACAACGGGATTTTATATGTATTTTATTTTATATAAGCCCTAAATGACTTCGCCAGATTATGCAGTTGCCATACGAGCAATTTTGTATGCCTGCATGGGCATTTAACATACAGAAGAGCTACTGCAAATCCCAAATGTGCCCTTCTAAAATGTGCCCACAATAGTTTTATGGCTCATCACTGATGGCCCAGTCCAACCAAAATCCAATCATCTCGAGTCTGTTCAATGCTCCACTTTGTCTGGGGTCGGCTTAATCCAATGCACATGCCTTCACCACATGCCAAAACTGGTTCAGCCCAGGCACAGGCTCAGACGAGCATTTGTTGTTGTCGACTGCTCAATTTGTTGTTTATATTGTTTTTATTGTTTGTTGCTATTGTGGGGTTTTTTTTATGTGCGGACTATTTACTTGTTCATCACTTACACGCGAGGGTAATTTAAAACAAATACCACACCAAATCGCATTCGGCTTTGGTGCCAGTAGTTTTTATTACTCGCTCGCATATGCAGCGGCAAATTTGTTCATCCACAACAATTTGGCATGCCATTTGTATTGGCTCATGTTAATGCTGGCACAAAATCCCCAACACGACGGGCGGCATGTTGAGACCAGGTCTGGTCCTGAGCCTGCTTCCGATATACGGTCTGGGCCATGTAGTAGTTGATCCAATTGCAGCCGCCGGTTGTCGGTTGTTGGTTGTTGGTTGCTGGTTGCTGTTGCAGCTGTTGCAGCTGTTGTGTTTTTTAATAGACACATTAAAAAATAATTTAACAGACAAACAGCCGCTCTGATACTCACAACAAACTGCCCGTCATTGCATTGAATAAATCATAAATCATTCAGCTTTTTGGCATACAATAAAAATAAACTCTCTCTCTCGCTCCCCCCGCCACGAAAAGTACGATAAATAATAAATAAAAAACAAATAATTCGCAGAAAACATATGACGCTGAGCATCGGTTGATGGTTGCCATTGCCACGTTGCTATTAAATGCTACAATGCTACACATGATGCGCAGGTTGCGTCAAATTGGCCGCCCCATTCTCGGTCTCAGTCGACGTTCGTGTCCACGCCCACGCCCACGCTGACGCCCACGCTGACGCCCAGAGCACATGCACAATACACACACGTTTTATACAGTATGTTCGCTTTTTACACATCATAATTTTTTATGCTAGTTGACTTTTAGCCGCTCTTGTTGGCACCTTTTTTCCCCCGAAAACCTTTTTGTGCAGTCATTCATTTTGAAGCGAGCGCCAGGACAACACCGAAAAGTTGTTGCCATGTACAAATTAATAAACGAGTAACTGACAAAAAGGTAATTTATTATTTTATACATATTTGACAAATTAATTTAATGACGCGAAGCCTCACACCATCTCACACATACACGTATATATGTATATATATATATATATACACGCACGTCCCGCTGGGATCACATGTGCCTGAAAGCCCCTCAGCTCAGTCCATCTCTCGTTTGGCGCTGCCGCCACACATAATAATTTCTCATTTAATTTTTCAATTTTAAGCGTCATTTACACATGCCATGCCATGACAGAGCTTGGTCCAGATCCCAGTTACCCCCGGCTGGCCCTTCCTTCTTTGGGCAGCCTGGTTGGCAGCTTGGCTTGGCTGCTGCCTCTGTACTGGCTTTTCATTTCATATATGTACATGTACAAGCTTGTGTGCGTGTGTGTATTTTGCATTAAAAGGTAATCATCGAAAACAGCACAGGCATGCAGTTTTCACGCCGTTGTTGTATTTTGTATGCCTGTCATTAAGTCGTCAGCGGGCACAACAAGAGCGAGAAACGCGAACCTGAACCAGAACCTGAACCACACGCCGAAGCTGACGCTGTAGCAAAAGCAAATTCAGAACGAGGCCAGCAGACTGCGCGAACTGCCAGGACGTAATCAGTGGCTCAGTCAGTTGGTGACGCATGAGTAAAAACGAGACGGAGCCGGAGCCGGGGCTCTAGCTGGAGCCGGGGAAGTGTGGCTGTCGGGGTCGGTGGCGTTTCACTTGAACGTGTTGGCATTGGTCTGAAGAGCTCGTACGTTAATGGCACTAGAATCAGTTTTCATTAACGATATGCTCTGCTAGTGGCCTGACTTGGACTCGGACTCGTACTCGCTGGGACGAAAAAAAACCGCATGCGTGCGTTGCTGGAATATTTCTCGCTGGCTTCTGCGGCAGCAGCGGCAGTTGCGGCATCAGCATCAGCATCGGCAGCGGCAGCGGCAGCGGCAACGGCTCTGGCAATTAATAAAACACACACCTTCTGTGCAGCACACATGACCATCTCTTTCATCCTCTCTGGCACTCAATCTCATACTGCTGGCTGCACAGTGGTCTGAAGCACTTATTTATGCGACTGCGATGTGTTGGCTGCCGCAGGCATAACCCTCGCCATTGGCATTGGCTCTGGCGCAGGCGTTGGCACTCGCTTTCATATTGGGTGTTAAAAATTGAATTTAAAAATCTCAAACGGTGCAAAATATTTCACACGCACATTCAGCGACAGAGTTGGCGATGCTGATGCTGAGATTTTCATATAAATCACATTTACCAACGAAAATATAATAAATAATACATGTACATACATATGCATGGGTATATGCATATACCGCAGCACATACATAAATCTTTCAGTTTGGATTTTCACTTTGGTGGCATAAATTGACACTGGCGTACAGCGTACAAATTCGCAGTTACCGTCGCTGTCGCTGTCGCCGTCTCTGTCGCCGTTTCTGTCGCAGTCGCAGTCACAGTTGCGGCACCCGAAGCCACATTTGAAAACCACGCTTGAAAGCATGAAGCGTCCATCCGGCCGGCTTCGGCTATAGCTCGAATGCAACAGAGTTCGCTGACAGTAAAAACTCATTTACGCGAAATTAAATTAAAAGTTAATTAACGCTGTCAATGTGCAAAGCACTCCAGTCCGGCAAGCCGGCAAACTGGCAAACTGGCAAACTGACAAACAGGTAAACAGTCAACTATCCAGCAACTACCTGAAACTTTGCCGGCCAAGTTGCAAAATCACCGCAAGTAAAGTTAAGCATATGCCCGCTGAAATTGATGAGAACTGGTTTTAAATGTCTGCTTGACAATTTAAGTTGCAAGGCCATCTGTGCGGCTGTGCGGCTGTGTGTCTGGCCGGACTGTTAATGCGACATGGCCTCCAGTTATGCGCACTGCGCACAGTGCGTATGGTTAATGTGACATGACCAAGCTGCCAGCCAAACTGTCTGCGTCTGCATGCTCGTTTGTCAGACTGTTTGCCATGGCAAAATCAACAACAAGATGCAACATGCTGATAATTAATTTTTAATTAAAGTCGACAATTAGAGAAGATGCGACATTGCATTCGATTGGGAGCAACCGAGCTTGAGCTTATGCCACTAGCCTAGACAGGCTGCCTCTCACACTGTTCAAAGTCTTTATTTTACCGAATATAATACTTCTAATGTCATGTTCCAGACAATGCCAAAGGCTAACAAGCATAAATTGGTAGGTAAAGTCTTGACACATTATTTACTTGGGCACAGCTCAGTGATTATGAAATCTTCCTCCCAATTGATTTGACATTTTATTTGCAACAAATAACTAAAATGCCAGAAATTATTAAAGGGAAATTGCCAATTTTCGAAAATAATTTTACTTCTTTTAATTAGTCAGTTCAAATTGCAGAAGAATATTTTATGCCAGTTCCTCCATACTTTTGATATCCGTACACAGAGAGAAAACTCTTATTATGACTTTCTAGGTACGACCAATTTTAATTAAATTCTTGTTATTGTTTAGCTTATCGATTTTGATATTGATATTGATTCAAGCCTATATTGGCCATGCTCAAAAAATAAACAATCAAATTTTAAAGATTAAAAAACTATTTTTATGCTATATATAAGCAAAACTCACAAATATTTACTCGGTTTAGCGAATCGCGATGGCGGCATCTTATACTTACCTACATAATTATCTCTTTGAATTTTATTTGCCGTCTTCTTGAATTAATTAATGGACAATTTTTTCATTTGATTCAAGAATTTGTGTACTTACTTTAAGACCATTTTAAACTATGTAAGATTTATACCTTACTTAAGAATCTTAAGTCGAGTCGGTTTCTTTTCTGTATACACAAGTAATTAATTCACACGGACTTCCTGGAAACTTCGCAACTATAATACTTTTGAATAGAGCTCAATTTTATTTTTTTTATTAATCAAGTGATATATTTTTGATATGCTTTTCTTTGTTCTAAAATTATGAACTTATGCAAAAAATAAATAAATATAATTAAATCGCACATGTTGTCAGAAAGTTAACAACATGTGGCAGTCAATGGGCTTGGCGAACTTACTTAATACGAGTTGTCATTGGGCGACAGCGATGTTGTAAAAAATAAATAAATATAAATATACTTGTAGATTGGCAATTCGAACTGCACTCTTACGGCCAATTTCGTAACGAAAATTAAAGATAACATAAATGTGCCTGGGCTGACATGGTGTACGGTATGCGGCACGCCATGCTGCCAGTTTCTGTTTGAGTCCCAGTTGCAGTTGCAGTTGCAGTCCGGCGGATTCCGTGCCGGCACATCAATGTCGTCGCAATGGCATGCTATTTGAATTGAACAAGTGTCAGCGTCAAGGGGATATAGTGTCGGAGGCGTGGCCCTTTTGGCCCTTTTCCGTTGGGCCTACTATTGCTGCAGTTGTACTAGTACTGTATTTGCATGCCCTGCCAGTGCAGAGGACGACAATGCTCTCAAAACTCAAAATATTAACACTTTAACGCCAAGTTTTTTATCCGGCTGCCGGAAGCAGACAACACAGCCCTCACACTCAGACAGCCACACACATACACAGAGAGAAAATCACACAGACACACATATACAAATAAACTGCAGCGGTCGTTACGGTGGCAAAACGCCATGTTGGATTATTCAACTCGACGCCATTTCGCGTCACAATGCGCGCTATGCGCCGCCATCATTGCACTCGACAGCAAGTGGCAACAGCAAAAGCAACAGCAACGGCAACGGCAACGGCAACGGCAACGGCAATGGCAATGGCAACGGCGGCATGGCGACGGCACATGCTGCCAACGTTTGCAACGGCGGCCAACGCGGCGGATGAAGTTGCAATTCAAAGTCATAAACACGTGCAGCGTGGGCGCAAAGTCGCAGCTAAGCTGCGAGCAGGCGCTGCCACTGACATCAGCAATCGCAACAACAGTGCCAGCACTTCCTGCCTTACACAGAGAGAGAGAGAGAGAGAGAGAGAAGGGGAGGTGTAAGCATTAGAGAGGGAGAGTGATCCCCACAAAGCCGGGAACGCTGCCCTTTTGTTTCCAAGCCATTTTGTTGCCGACGCGTCGGTCGCTGTTCGTTTTTCATTTGCATGCGAAATTCAAACATCAGCATAAAAATGCAATTTTTATTGCTCAACATTTCTCAACGCCCGCTGCAAATATTTTCGCGGGTTTTTATTATTACCATTTTTTTTTTTAATTTTTTTTTTTGTTATGTTTTTATATTTGTGTACTTTCCTTCTTCTGCTATTGTTGTTTGTTTGATTCGGCTTGTTATTGTTGCTATTGTTGCTGCCACTGTTGGCTGCTGCCTCATATTTATTTTGAGTTTTTATTTTTGCCCCGTAGCATGCATACCGTTGCCGCGTGCACTAGCTACGGGCCACCAGCAGCAGCACCACCCCAAATTTCCACCCACACGGCCTCCTTTATGAGCTGCACTTTATGAAAATGCAGTTGCCAGTCCGCTGGCGTCGCACCGTTGGAATTGCCATTGCCTTGGCGATGCCCGTTGCTTCGAGTACATTGCAAATATTTTATTATTGCAAAATTCTGCCAACTTATCCCGTGCGCATGTGAATCTTAGTGGGGTCTGGCCAGGTTTAGGGCTTCGCCTTCTGACCGCCGCAAGGCAGCAGGAAGGATGCAGCAAGCTAAAAATAATATTTCGTTGCAATTGCAGTTGTTTTGCTTTGTTTGTGTTTTTGTTTGTTTTGATATTTTTTCTTCCCTTTTTGTTTTGTTGTTGTTTTTTTTTTTTTTTGTCGGTTCGTTTAGTTGAAATTACGTTTTGTGTGCCACTGAATTTCATAGCAGCAGCGGCAACACCAGCAACAATAGAAACAACAAGAACAACTTGAGCCAAAAAACTTGCTTTCGGTTGTTATTATTCTTGCGTTTACTCCCGGCAAATTTGCCGTACGCCGCCTTGCCCGTCTGCTTCTGATGTTGTTGTTGTTATGGACACCACCACAAGCAGCAGCAGCAGGAGCAGGAGCAGGAGCAACCGGAGCAGCTCTATTCGCTGGCATTGCATTCCGTTACGGCACGAGTCTCAGCCGTAGAAGCAAGCTCCTGCCTGTGTTTTGGTTTGGATTATTTTTTTCATGCTGCTTTTTCCAACATTTTAACTTCCGCTCAATTTACCTTTAGGCCAAGTAATTTAAAAGCTGACGTGTTTGTACAACTACAATTTCGACTCATGTTACAGTTGCTGTTGTTGTTGGCATTGCCTGTGTATAGCACTTCCTGGTGTAGATTTTTGCTGGGTTTGCCGCTTGTTCTGCTTCTTGGCTTTTGCTGCTTATTTTTTTTTTGTTTTGGTTTTATTTTCATTTGTTTTTTTTTCTTTGGTTTTTTTCTGCTTTTCAAATTATTTAATAGAAGAGAACGAAATTTGCTGCTGCTCTAACGTATATTTTGTTTATTTGCCCTCCGTTTGACTGCCACTTGCGATAGTCAAGTTTTTGATGGGCCCGGGCTAAAAGCTAAGGCAGCCAAAGCTGTTAAAACTGTTTGCCTTGGCTAATAGTTGGTAAAGCGGCAAGCGGCTCCTAAGGTAAATATTAATTAAAGTCGATAGTAAATGGCCAAAAACGTTTCATTCGTCTGTTTTTCTTTGGTGCTGCTCCTGCTCCTGGTACAGTTTCTTTAGCCTCTGTTTGACATGTGAGCACGCAATTTCCTTGATTGGCCACCTTCAATGACTGAAGGCGCTCGCTTAGCTGTCGGACTCGAAGGATATTCATAACATATCAGAAAACGTAGCATACTATTTGGGGCATCCGACAAAAGTTTTTATGCACGCCCGTGAACAAGATTGTTTTTGCGAAAGTGTGCATGTGTGTATAAGAACAGTTAACGCCATTGTTTACGTTCAGTCTCGGCAGCCAGCATCCAGGCATTGCTTGCCAGTCCGCCTGCCAGGCAAGCCAACGACTCTGTTAGCCAGCCCGCAGCCGCAGGCAGGAACAGAACCAGCAGCCACAGCTTCAGCATCAGCATCAGCTTCAACTTCAACATCACCATCGGTGGCAGTCTGCCATGTGCTGTTGCCGGAGCTGCATTAAGTGAAGTATTGTTTCTGCTAGATTAATCCTGTTTTAATTAAATATACACGCTGCCAGCACAAAACCAACAAGACTCTCTAGCAAAAAAGGCAGAATGCTGGGAAATATTGCAGGCCGCAGTCCGCAGTCCGCAAACCGCTTCCCCCAAACCGTTACTCACAGCCAGCAAGTTCGACTTCTGACGTCATGCAAATTTGTGCGCTGGCTCCAGCGGCGGCTCGTTGTTGGCACTCCACACGGACTGACAAAGTGACTTGACTGAATGAGCAAGTGGTGGATGAGGGAACGAGCAGAGTGCAGCTACAGAGGCGGCAAAAGAGATACCGACAGCAGTTGCAGTTGCAGTTGCAACTGCAGTTGCAGCGGCAGCGGCAGCAGCAGCCCACATGAATGCGTGCATTCGACCTCGCTTTCATTATTTATATTTTCATGTGTTCCCAGCGCTTGCAGCTTTCGTGTTTTTCTTCGTTTTAAGAAAACAAGAAAATATACAAACGAGAAAAAAAATATTTTTCTCATGCAGTCACTGCCAAGGCAGTCCCGTCGCTATCAAAGCAAAAACATCCAGCACTTCCTTGCAATTTTTGTAGTAAATTAAAAACGCTGCGGTATTTTATAAGAGCTTGGTAAAATAAGTATGAAAAAGGTAGAAGAAAATCTCAGGTTGCTATGCTGCGGCTGCCAACGTTTGTCATGCATGCTTCATTGTGTTGCCGTGTGCAGGCATTGCGATGGAAACGTCAGGCTTAAAGCATTGCATAATTTGAGGTGCTTTTCACTTCTAGTCGTAAGATCTAAAATCCAGCTTAAGTGCATCTTAAATTCTCAAGTTAATAAGTTGCAAATCGCATAGATTTAAGCACCACATACCAAGATCTAGAATTATGATATAATAAAAATATGAAAGCAGCTTATTCCTTGTCCAGCTTAAGTATATGCAAAGCAAAATCAAATGAATAGTTCGTATTGTTTGTGAAACAATAAGCAAAATTTCCATACAATAATTAAATGCACTAACGTGAATAGCTGACCATAGATAATTCAGATTGAGCATTATGATAATTAAATTGTTCAATTATTACAATACACGTCAAATATGCCGCATCCTTCTGTGGGATTTGTGTGTTGGTTGGATTAAATACCAATAGTTGAGGCGCACCTCTAAGTCTTGTGTTCTATTTCAGCGCAAAACTTTGGCATCTTTAACTGCACGACGCATTCAAACAGTTTGCGGCTTACGGTTGGCCGGCTTTCACTTTTGAGTACCTTCTGCTGCAGCGTCGTATTCAATTTCGGCACTTTCTGCCCAGACTCTCAATGTGGTCGCATGCAATTTTCCGTTGCGTACTTGACAATGTGTGTGCATGTTCTTATGTATGTGCTATACCCACACACTCACGAGTGTGTGCGTGTGTTAGTGAACTGAAATGTAAGTGTGCATCTCTGGTGCATACTTAAGTATGTGTAAACATATGCACTGCCGCAAGTGGCCATTAAATTTGGTCTTTAATATTCGTACAACCCACCAAATGGTACTTGCAAATGTATCTCCTTAAACATAAACTAGCAGCTTTTTCTCATATTACCACATTCCTTACTTTGAATCTTTAATAAAATCTGTATTTTTTTCGAGTAATTGAACTGTAATATACGTAAGCCAATAATACAAAGGCTTTAGACATTTTAAATAAATGACAGATATGGAACCAAGGCAATCTCAAATGCCACAATATCAAACATTTCCATTTGCTTATGTTAGACTTTTTGAAAAAATAAGCAATTTATTTGTTTATTGTACAATTATTAACGTATCCGACTGGCATGCACAGAGATATTCTGAAAAAAAAAACAATATATGTGTAATTGAATTGACGGTTTAACTGGCAATGTTAGTGGGCCGAATACTGTATATATATTACTGCCAAAAACTTTGGGAATGCAACCTCATATATTAGTTTAATTTGGTATTCGTTGAATATATGCACTAAGCTACGATAAAAAATGCACCAACAAAATGTGCAAAAAGATAGAGGGAAAACTCTATTTTTATAATCAACTGTAGAATAATAGAAAATGTTTATAAACTCCGTTTGATTCGAGCTGTTTTATATGCAAGAATATTGTTTTATTTTTTAAATCATATATTTTTGCTTAAATATTCAATTTATCAAATATTTATTTACTAATTTTTACACAAAAATATAAGAATATTTGTATTTCACATGGCAATTTGGGGCTAGCGCTAACTTACTTACACGCATAAAAACTATGCAAATGAAATATATAAATAATTTATACACAAACACAGATAGAGAGCACATAGGTGTAAGTGGCTGCAATATCTATTAAAACGTTGCCAATGAAAAATCGCACTGTAAATTGCATGTGCTTTGGCTATGTAATAACCAAAATTGATAACAATCAATATGGACAGGTGCAAGTGTTGTTGCTGTCGAGCGCGGACCGGAACTGTCGCAGACATGAAGCCCACAACAATGTATACCGCACACCACGTAGTCGGCGCTTAACCTGTCATTGTCAGTTTGGCCTGCTTCACCTGCCCGGCTGCCTGCCTGCCGTCTGCATGGCCATAAACCTAAAGTGCACGCATTGAGTTCTGATTGCCTCGCGTACACACGCACACTCGCAAACACTCGCACACACACACATGTCCAGGGACGGGCACACACATAATGCAGCCAGGAGCTTAGTTTAGTTCAGAATGCACTTAAAATTTAATTTAAATGTAAATTTGTGCAACGAAATGTGTTGTGTCGAAAAAATGTTTATGTAAACAGTGTAAGTGAACAGGAACAACAACAACAACAAGAGCTCCAGAGCAGCAGGTACAGCAGCAGTCGTACTAGTAGCAGCGACAATGGTATTAGAAAAAACGCGAAATAGAATGCAAATGCAAATATTGGCAATGGCGACCAAAAAAAAAAACATGTAAAAAGAAGTATGTAAGCTGCTGCCGCCTGGCTGGGTGCTAGCAAAAATAAGAGGAATTTATATGCAGATGTGCAAACATTTTGCACCCTATTCGCGTCGACTTCCCCAGCAACAGCAGCAGCAACAGCCGCAGTCAGTCAGTCAGGTGGGGGGTATGGGCGGTGTGGGGCAGTGCCAGCATGTGCATTCATTTTCAGGTTTGGCGGGGCGCGTAGCATGCGTGAAATTTAATAATGCTCAAGTTGACAGAGACGCCGGGTCCGTTGTCGTAGCCGAAAGAAAGACGCACACAAAGACAGAAAGCGGTAAGGCGTCAACGACTTAACAGTTGCCGTTGATGTTTATTAAATTTCATTAAATTACGTAATTCTTGAGCAAAAGTTGCGCAGCAGCAGCAGCAGTAGCAGCACCCACAGCGACATTTCCAAATGCAATTCGGAACAACTTAAAAAGCGAGCGCTTCGCAATAAAAATGTCTGCTGAGGCGCCCCGCCATCCATTTCCGCTATTGCTGCTGTGTGCAACAGTGGCAATAGCTGTGTAATTGTATCTGTCTGTGTGTGTGTGTGTGTGGGTGTGTGGGTGTTTGTGTTGGTTGCATGGCGTGCACCCCTGCAGCGCTGTTTTCACATTGTTGCTTCACACTAATCTTCTGTCAATGCAACACGAGAACGAAAGCGACAACAGCTTGCAAGGACCTATGCAAGCAACTGTTGTTATTGTTGCTATTCAGTCACAGCCCACACTGATACAGAGACGCAGGGCAGGGCATATAGTCACACAGTCACCCAGATACAGTTGTATAGCTTCAAAGACCAAAAAGTGCAAACCGCAGCCGCAAACGTTTCAGTGCCCGGGACAGGGCAGCATTTGGAATTCGGCATTCGGCTGCGTGAGTGGGCTAAAAGATTTTGGCCCCAAACCTCAACATGCACAGGGACCAAGTTGTTTTCTGGCTGAATCTCTGGTTTTGTCTTTAAGTGTAAAAACATTTTACTTTTGGGCTAGCAATCCCCAAGCAACCGTTGCTGCTCCTGCTCCTTCTGCTGGCTGTGGTAGCATGTTGTCACCATTGTAGATGCATGTCGCCAGCGTCACCATTGGGCGCTGCAGTCAAGTGTCTGTGTGTTCGTGTGTTCGTTCGTGTGTCTCTGAACTGCTGTTTGTAACGTGTGTGTTACCAGATAGTTGGTTGTTGTGATGTCAGTGCGGCTAATGCTTTTAGCCGATGCTCAAACATGGACTTCTACTAGCGGGCAGCTCGCTTTCAGGCATTGCCATTGGTCAAAACTAATGCAATATTCTCATTATTTGGTTTACATTGTTTGCGCAAACTGTTTGTTTTATTTTCCTTTATTTTATTTAATTTGGGTTTGATATTGTTGCATCTCCGGCTTAAGTACGGCTCTCGTGCTATCCGACACAGTCATAGCCTGGTTATATGTATTTTGTTTTGTTTATTGGCACAACATGCAGCTGCTGCAACAATTTGTCTTGCCGAGATGCGTGTGTATTTTGCTTGCCTTTTGTTTATTTGTCTGCTTTACACTTTGCTTTTGTTATTGTTTTATTTAACGTAATTGCTTCTACACTTGTACTCAGACATGGACACGGACTCGGCCACGGGCACGAGTACTGCGCCACATGGCGCAACCAAAGGGCAGCACAGGCAACAAAATTTATTTTTCCTTCCTTTCCTTTTTTTTTTTAATATTTCACCAGCAGAAGCCATTTGTCTTGGCCGCAAAGTGGACAAGCTCCTTGGCAGACTCCCCACCAGTAGGAAGCAGGCTGCCCTGACTCGGGCAAATTAATTTCGTATTAGCGCACTTTGACAAATTAAAACCGCAGAGTCAACAGCCTGACTGCTGGCACATTTAAATATGCAGGTTGGCCCAATCAATGGCAGTTAGCAAGGCCCACAAATTATATGCAAAGTAACAACTAATAAATATTCAATGGCTGTCACATTAATCTTTAAACAGTGCGAAAAGGCCCGTCAGGCTGGCTATAGGCTCAGTCGTAAAAAAATCATTGCTAATGCCAATCTCTTAACATGGCTTGCTCGTGAATA